GTTGGAGGTGGTACCCCTCAGTCTCATTTCTTGTTAGGTATATTCAAACCGCCGGTTTGGACACCCTACCGGTATTTTGTTTTGTAAATGGGTGATTCGTCGCTAATAGGCCAATTCTGGGTGTTGAATGTAAAGAGTACATGTAGATCAGCTGGTAGTTTCATGAGGTTTTCCCAATGCTGCCGACTTGGCCAAAAAACAGAAAATTATACAGTTGAGTATAAAACTCAACTGCAGTAAACTGCAGTACACTATTGTGGCAGATTTGAACACACCCTTTCAATTACTGGCTAAAACATGGCACACATCTTGTAGACCTCTATCCTTTATCCCTCTCCATTTGTTGACCCAATACGCAATACCGTTCATAGTTCATGATTCTTGCATCTTTGTTCCTTATCTCTGTCTCCTGTGATGCACAGAAGGGGCAGCAAAATTCAAGTGCCTCCTCAGTTTTGCAGTCGGGGGTCTCCTCGGCGATGTGTTCCTTCATCTGATGCCAGAGGCGTGGTCGCACATTGCTCCAGGTAGGTCTGTTCTTGAGAGTGAGACTAAATTGGGGGTGTTTACGGTGTGGGCTAATCCAGGGGCCAGAATAAGAAACCATCAGTGCACTCGTACATGCGCATGGTATACATGTGCACGTTGCATACGTCTTCAACCAACAAAGCGTAGGGCTTTACTAAAATGCGGTATATGCACCCTCAACTTTAAGAATGCACACAAGTGTAGTGCGTGAGGGCAGCCTGTCAGAGTCGCCCATATGCTTTGCCCGGACTCATAATTAAGAAGGCATACTTTTTTACTTGCTCTGGAACCTTCCTGGTTAGAGTTTGAAGGATCTGGGATGGTTAGGGTTATTATAAGAATGCTTGCCATGGACATGTGAATGCGAGCAAGAAGTACCAGTAGAGTTGGTGGGCATGAGTTACCCAGTGCAAGATTCTTGGCTTCTCGACAAGTGAGAAGCGTTGAACCCACTGGCGTGGAATGGACCTGTAAGTTGTTCTTCCAAAAGATTTGTGCCTTTGATGGCTTCCTTAAGATGTGAGATGCAGCACCAGCTTGGTAGTGGAAAAAAAAGCAGTTTGCTCTTGTTTTGCAGAGGATCACGATGGTCAGATGAGGATCGGGATGTGGGTATTGGCTGGAATTTTTACCTTTCTCGTTCTAGAGAAAATTTTTGGAGATGGCGAGAGCCACCAACATGAGGTATGTGGCTTTCCAGAAAAGATTCTGTTGCATTCTTTGCGTATACATGTACTGTAGCAATAATCAAAAGCACATTGCAAGGGTCTGGATTTACGGAAGTCGGTTGAAGAGAAATGAAAACACAGGAACGTCAGGATCAAGCACGCTTGCACCACTGAAAATTCTTTTTTGTGCACCACTGAGCTGAAAATAAAGCCCGTGCACTCAAAAGACTTTCCATATAGCAGTTACGAAACGTTCAAAAGTATACCATCGATCGGCGGTGTCAACACTAAGGTTTTTAGTCTAGATTTGAGAATGAGATTGCTGAATAGTTTGCTACATGCATCTTGAAAAGTGGTGAACCAGTAGGTTAAGTCAGTAGAACTTGAATGTGGATGACACAGGCAAATAACCTTTCATACAAATGACAGAGCCAAGTGTTTTAATGTTCCAATTTTGTCAAACTTATTACAATGGTGCGGAACCCATGAGAAATCCTGTTTACACATTTTAGCCGTTGACCTAGAAAAGTCATTTCCATCTTGTCAGGATGTGGACTCCAAGAGCAAAGTTGCCGACGGCGCCTGTAAAGAACGCAGAGCTGCAGCTCACACGGCACTGCCAGATGCCATCTTGCCGCCCTCTATGAATGGCCGGGCTGCCATCTTGCCCAAGACCAAGAAGAAGACTAGGAAGAGAAAAAGGACGCACGAAAACGGGCGGAGCAAGGGCGGAGCCATGGCTAACGGCTTGATGGCCAACGGGCATGCAGTGAGCCAAGTCGGGCGGAGCAGGACAGCTGGTTGTCAGGCAGAAGACAACCGAGAAATTAAAGTCAAGGTAAAGTGATCCAAATGTCACTAGAGGGAAGAAAAAAGTTGAAGTAAGATTCATTCACTTGCCATTTACAGCGGCGTTCCACTGAACTTGTCATTCACAAATGCGTACAGTAAGCCAACACTGCTGAAACAGTTCACAGGCACACGCAGCCAGTGAGTTTGCTAGCTCTTCAGGAGGACAGATGGTATTTCCCATGTGCCCTTGTTCAGGCTGCGTGCCGTTCCCGTTACAGGCACTGTCTGGTGTGTTGGCATTAGTATTATGAGCACTGTCAAAAACACCTGTGGAAAAACCCATCATTAGTATGATTAATAAGTCAGTCAAGTCTTTTCCTTGCGCTTAGTGTCGATGTTTATATGAATTTTATTCATTATCAATGCATACGAAAATATGCAGTGTTGGACTGTGCTACATGTTTTTATTGTGAAAAGAGTTGTTGGTTTTGTTTTAAAACATGTAAAACAAAACCCCCAACCCTCCAAAAACCTTCAAACACCAACGAGAGGTTTGGGAGCAATACCAGTTCAATGGAATTTTAGGAGTCAAAATGTTCCTTTATATTGTCATGTTTATGTCCTTGCTTGCTGTCACATTTCATGTTAATTGTATTCGATACTTGCGCTCGTTTACTTCAGCCCAAAATGCGTACGTGCACTCACATTACGTCCTGACAGGTTGATGTTTCACCCCCTTGCTGTTTCAACATTTTACCCTGCCATATTTATGTACATTTGCAGCAGTTGAGAACCACCCGTACAAAATGCATTAGCATGAAGAAAAACCAAACTTAAATCAATCAATCATGGCAGCTTATGTTTATTTTCAGTGTGTAACTTTTGTATCTTGGTTTAACAAATATTTGACTCCATTTCCATGATTTGAAATGTTAACAGTCTCATGTTTAGTGTGCCCCTTTTTTTCTGATTACTTAGACCATGCTGTCCTACCTCCATGTTTGGACTGGCTTTTTTTTTACCCATGCTGCCTTACAGACAAAATGTCATCCAAAACTTGTCTTTGCAAAAAAATTCTTTCAGTGGCTCGTCACATAACTCTGATGTTATCACCACTGTAAAAAGCATCTTAGTCATCTCACGTAATCATTCAGAGAGACAATGTAATGCAGGCCCAGTGACAGAAATACCAATAAAATTCCAGGTGGTCTTAAACTTTTGCAGATGACTGTCGATCTATATACCCCTGTCCGTTCAACATGTCTCATTCCTCTTTTTCCCCCACGTAACAGACTTCCTCAACATATTCACCGCTTTTCCCTAAAAAGCATTCAGTGTCACAACAAAAATTGTCACAAAAATATGTACGGATTTCCCTGTTGGATACACATTTTTAGAATTCTTTTTTTTTTTCTCGTGTTTTGGGGAACAGATGACTTCACGTCATCAGATAACGTACATTTTGCAGTCTATATTTGGACCCCGGCAGTTGTGACTGGGGCTGAGTCAATCTGAATAATTCACTATTCGAATATTCGATCTTCAGTTCAATCGAATGTTTAAATATTTGGTGGTACTGACCAGAAGGTTGTTGATGAACAAACTATATACAAAATCAGTCTCAATAATGCACACAATTGCACATTATAATCCCCATAAAAGCTTCTCAATTCTAGGACTATCTCCAGCCACAATTTAGCAAAATTTAACAAACAGTACTTCTTGCCCTGTTGAAAATTTCTATTCCTTTTAAATTTTGTAATGAATAATTTACTTTTTGAATCTTGTAAGATAAATTATTCTGTCACTTTTTATTTGAATCTGCTTGAAACAAGCCTCTAAAGTGTGATTTTTGTCATTTAAAACAAAACAAACTTCTCCTTTTCTTTTTGTCTTGTTCGTTGATTTTGCATTCGAATATTCAAATTTAGAAAAATAATATTCAAATATTCGATAATCGATGGTATTTGGATATTCGAATATTTGGCACAGCCCTAATTGTGAGAGAGAGCCAAAAAAAAATTTTTTTTTTGATGTGAGCACAGGTGTTGATTTCCTCAGGAAGTCTGTGTCGAATTATTGCATCATTTGATGAGGAAAGTTACTGTGTTAATTTGTATGCGCCCATCGATTGGAGGGATTCCCACATGGAATTTGCATTTATTGCAATTCACCGCCGATATCGACTGTGCGCCGCGGCATAGCACTCGCACAAAGCCCTCCGTGCCGACTTTTAATGTGTTTATACTGGCGAGAGCTGTGCAAACAGGTCCCATGCCTTGGTGGCTCTCATCTGTCACGGAATTATATCAGTTATTGAGTTCAGGTGGTTATTTTATAGTTACGGAGGGGTGTAATTTTCTTCTCTGCGTTTATGGTACCAAAAAAATGATAAACACGCACATCTGTTTCAGTGGTTTATGTGCCATTTAATTTAAAAAAACACAAATTGCATACTCTGGAGGTTTTTTTGTAAGACAGTGCTCGATACCATTTGGAGTCTCAAAAATTAATTTTCATTTTTGATAGATTCACTAATTTTTTTTTTATATGCCTGTAGTGTTTAGGGGTTAGTGTTTTTTTAATGTCTTGTCAAATAATATTGTTCTTGCCGTAATACAGGGTATTTCCTTTTGCGACAAAACATGTCCAGATGTTTTCCGTTCAACAACTCGGGGGGGGGGAGCAAGTTAGAATTATGGGATAAAGATTAGCCCAATGAAATTTAGCAACAGACAAGTTTGCAAAGCTTGCATTTGGCTTTCCGCTGAAATAACACAAGCTTATTGGTTACTGGAAGACAGATGGGAAATGTCCAATTTTTTTAAAGCAAAAAATCACAGACAAATCGCTTTTTATCTGAGAGTGCACAGCCCTTGCATTCACCAAAATCAGCTTCAACTCCGTCGCCTTTCATGCATGAACACGTCCGATCTCATCTCGCCGTTTTTGCTAATCCGTGACCGTCTGCACACAGATGGCAATCGCATTAAATCAGCTCAGCCTCTCACCAACACACCCCCCCCCCTGGTTGCTTCATGCAGTCACATCAGTGAAATCGTGACCTACGTATGCTAGACGGCATGATGAACAGCTTGGGCTATCCATCCCTCCCCCCCACATCCCGTCCTGTCGGGTAAACAGGCATGATGGCGAGATTCTGAGATATCCATGTAGATTCTTGCTCAAAAATGCCAGACCAGCAGGGCTCACTACAAAGATAGTATACATTATTAACCTTTGAGTCCTCTTGAATTTTCTTCAACGGGGGGCCTTTAAATTTTAATTTTACAGTCCATGATTTTTTCTTTTTTTACTTGAGAGCAGATAAATTCCAAAATATAATTTCACTCGGATACATCTTACTACCCCCAACTGTCCGTGAAAATATTACACATGTGCAGTACATTGCAATTGAAAGTAAGCCTCAAAAAGGGGAAAACTGGTCACGCTTTTTCCCATCTGGGGAAATGATTATTCAGTTCACAAAATGTGAAGAATTTTCCACTCGGTGGGAAAAATTATCAGACACATCTGGGGAAATGATT